AGGTAATTGAAAATTAAGATTTTAATTAATTTTGATAAAACATTAGATTATGGTATAATTATTGCCTTTTGCTTACTAATATTAATATTGTAGAATATAGAAAGTTTCTTTCGTCATACTGAAGCAAAAACTGCAGTTTTTTGATTTTTGCACATGCGTTGCGGGCCAATTTTTACTCTTTAGGGTCGGGAGTAAACGCCTTTTTAGTCCCTATGGAGTAAAAATCTGCTGTTGTAAACAGCTGTAAATTTCGATTGTAGCAATCACATGGATCGTAATGATTTGTCGATATTTTTAATTGGGAAGGTTTTGAGCTTATTGTTGCGTTCTTGTCAATAGTTCGACATATTGATGGTAAAATGTTCAGTACAATCGTAATAGGCGAAATTATTAAATTACTAATTAGTTGCTTATTTACATTAGCTACGCTGGAAGTATTTTTGAGAGGTTATCTTTAACTGAAAAGTATTTTCGATACCTGACTTGGTTTGTTAAATAATTTTTCAATATACTATTACGAAAATATTATTCATCACACGGGCAAAAAATGTCACTTTACGTCCGAGTGATGAAATATACTATTGTTTAACAATAAGTCTTAAAAAGGCTATGTATCGTAAAGAGTCACTTCACGCCCTAGTGGTGAAATCTACTATTTCTTACCCAAAAATCAGTTTTTGAAAAAGAAATATCCAGAATTTAACAGTTCTATATAAATACAGTACTCGATAAATTTATCCAATCTATTGTCACCTTTTCTAAAGGCCATGCGTAATTTCCACCTAAATAATGCTATACTTCCGTTTTGTAACTGAATCTGGAAACAGAAATTAATTAAAACTAATATCTCGATGGTTTGCGTGCATGTTGCGAGGAAACCCAGATCGACCGCTAAATGTACATTATTAATTCCGAATGTGGATAAAATTCACACAACGATTAATTATATTATAAGATGGCTTACTGAAAGTTTTTTAATCGTGAAAAAGGTGAGTTTAATTTTTAAAACAATTAAAACAAATAAATTACTCGTTTTCACCGAGTAGAAGTGGAGAACTGTGATATTAAAGCTGGAATTCAATTAAGTCAGGCCCCGAATGGGCTTTTAAGATAACTCTGGTATATTGGACCTAGCAACACTGTAGATGCGACTGGGCGGTAAAATAAATCCCTGTTTTGAATACAACCCCCGACCCAACATGCAAATAGGACCAGTGAATTACATTTGTACCTTTCGTGTGGTTGCGAGAATTTGCTCAAGGTAGCTCCGTTTATTTGACCTGCTTAGTGTGTGTAAAGTAATTTTCCTTTTCATTGTTGGTTCAAGTAGAATGGTTTGATTTCGATAATTCATTCGTTCTTCGTGATTAGAGTTTTGTGTCCTGTTTTGATATGATTTTTCTTATTTGTTTACATGATTGTAGCCTATGGCTTAGCTTTTGATATAAAGCCATAAAATAAAAAGAGTTTTGTTCTACATTTCTTGTAATTGCCGTAGCCTACAATGCATCTTCACCTTAATCCTACAAATTATCGTACAAATGTATGATACATTTTTATAATTTTGTTTTTAGACACATTGAGAAAAATGCAATTTGAAATTAATCTTCTTGGTAATTTACTATGTTCTTCCTACAATTAAGTATGCGTTAAATCATATACATGAGGTGGAATCGCATTTTGAGATATAATTCGGACCACTAGCTAATGTTTACTACACTATCAATTTTCATAATTTCCACATGATATGTTACCAAAAAATTGCGCCCAAGTTTAGTTTAATCGAGGTGAATTCCCTGAAAATGTTCATATGAAATAATCAAATCGGGTGTTTTATGAAAGGGTCCGTGCTAACTATCTGCATATGACAATACCCGCTACTACTACTGTAATAAGCGTAAATAAACTGTAATAAACTTACCTTTGTGGCTATAAGCGATTCTAAAAGATCGCAATATTGACATTTTAAATGACTGACATGAACAAAATTAATTTGCCAACTTTTTTGAAGTTTATTTCCAAGCAATCCACGGAAAATTCTATTATCCATAATAATAACTATGCCGATATGAGTTTTCAATAAAATATCATGCCAAAAAAAGCAAAACATGATTTTTTTTCGAAATCGAAAATGATCAATAATTACTATTATTTTGAGATTTCAAGTAATCATTACCATAATTGCACTAAATTGTTTACAAGTGATTTGATTTTAAACCAGCAATTGGTTGGTAAAAATGTCATCCCCATGTTACATTTGTAGCCAGTTTTTTGAGAAAAATCATCGTTTATGTTTATAGTTATGTAGTTTATATTCATAGTGTTATGTATCATAGTTTATGTGAGCCACCGACAGATTGTGCTGATCTAAATCACTGATTTCTGTCGAATACGCAATCTTTTTAACCGACTTCCCCACTACCAACAAAAGGAGGAGGTTCTCAATTTGTCTGTGGCGATGTTTTTTTTTTTCTATGTATGTTCACCAATTTCTCTGTGATTCTCTTACCGATCAGTGTGGTTCCACCACCAAAATAACCAGGAGAGTTTCTATTTGGTACCTTATATATTATGTTTAAGTATAATATTTGTTTCGGTGAAAAATTCTGAAAACCTTAAATATTCAACATTCATTTTGTTTACATTTGTGCACATTGTTTACATTTGTGCAGAGAAGGCAATAAATAATAATAACATTCCTACAGCTGTTAGTTGAAACCATTTAAAAGACACAGACAATTTCTTCATGAAACAGTTGCTTCATATTGATCAATAAACTATTTCTTGCCATGAAGCCTAAATTAATTACATTGAGAAAAATGCATTTTGTTTTGGTTACTATAAAAAATGTATTTTAACGTTTGACCTGATTTGTGTATACAGTAATTATGTTTTTAGTATTGAATATTCTGACTTACAAAAACATACATTTTTCAGTGAATAGCTGTATGATAATGACAAATAAAGGTGTATTGTGAAAACCACAGCATTCGTAAAACAGGTATAAATATAAATCAAATGCAATTATTCCTTACACGACCTAAGAAGTGTGACAGTGCATAATCGTCAATTGTCTTAAAAGTGTTGAATATTTTAATTACTAAACATGCATTTGCAGATGTGGAATGTTTATTGATATTCTCTACCCAGTTACTATAACATATCAATACTATTTTATGCCTGCTTCGGAAAGTCCTAGAGGAAGATGATTTGCAATTTCAACTAGGCTATATCTTGAGCAAACAAAACCCCCTACATGACTTACACCACTTTTAGCTGAACCAATCTTTCATATAATATTTTCCAAAGGTACTATACGAAAGGTTCTATGGTGTTAACGACCAATTTTCCACTTTTGAGAGATTTTTTAGTGCTGGTAGCTGAGGAATAACTTTATTTTGTTCCAAAAGGCTTGAGACGTTACTGTATTTCTTTTTATAATGTAGAAGTACACCGATTGCAAAGAAACGATGATGTCTGACATTTCAATGTATCTAGAAAAGACAATTAGTTTTTCATTAGGCCTAATGTAATGGACAACTCTTTCTTTCTTAATATCTAAATATGTTTATTTTCATACCCATTGATTATGTAACCTGAACAGGTGACTCAAGCAGTTTTAAAATAATGATTGTTCTGTGGAACGTTTGATTGTTTCAAACAGTTTTGCTTATCAAAAAACCTTAAGTAATTAATACCGGTACATAAAAACTATACGGTCACTAAAAATCATGAAATAATTTATTTTTGTAAAAAAATACAACCGACTTCAAACGCTCTAAAAAGAATGAAATAGTTTAAATAAAGTAAACTTTTGTATTAGGCAAGCTCACGTATTTCAAGTCGGCGCGGTTCAAACTGCAAATATGATTGAAATTAAATATTGTGTGTGTATTTTGAAAATCAATAAATTGTAGCTGGATAACATAAATATATAAAAAACATACTGAACTGTTTTGTTTATATATTAAAGGAAATATTTTCTTGTATTTTATGTTTACTTCAGAATAAATGCATTATGAAAATAACACACACAAATGTTCTATATGAATAGGAAAATAATTTAGTTTGATATTATGATAGGGAAAAGAAGCTAGTTTAGTATTAAAACGTTACATTTCCAAGTTAGAAACATTTAAATGCGTTATAATCTTTTTAAAGATACTCGTTAATACCACTATAATGCCGATCTCTGATTACGGTAATAAAATAACACTTAACGCATAACTATGAAAAAGACATGCAGATTAACACCTTTAGTTATAGATATTCACCTGCAATATGGACACCCTCTTTCAATTTTGTATCAAAAATCATCATAGAGCCGCGCCGAATTGAAATACGTGAGCTTGCCTAATACAAAAGTTAACTTTATTTAAACTATTTCATTCTTTTTAGAGCGTTTGAAGCCGTTTGTATTTTTTTACAAAAATAAATTATCTAACAATTTAAACTAACGGAATGACTAATTGTGAGCTATAGCAACTGTTATGATCCATCAACTTGGCCTGCAACAAAAAATAATTAGGTTGAATATATAGTTTTAGTCACTAGCGCATTCTGTGACTGGCTCACCCAATATATGGACGTATTTTCATATTCAACAATAAAAATAATAACACGGTATAGTTTAACACCATTTTATGACATATGACACACTCTTGTAACGTAAGAGGTAATAACAGAAAATACACATAAGACAACATTACATCATTCCGACTAATCGAAAAATTACGGTTTATACATTGTATAAATCTCTGTTTTTATCATCCTGTAAGTTTAGCAATGACAAATACTCATACTGTTCCATTTATTGCCCGATATGAATAGCGTGTGATTTTTCATCACATCCAGTGACTTGTTTTGATCAAACATCTAATCACATACCTCACGTGACACGAAGGATTTATGTTGTTTTCACTTGTGAACAATGCTGTTAAATAGATAATAGTGTGTTGTTTAATTTATACTGTTATTGAATGTTTTACTTCGTGTTACAGGTTGGGGTTATTATCTCATTTGACTGTTTGGAAATCATAAGTAAGTATAAATTTTGTTGAATACTGTAGGATTACCCTCATTATTGTAGCAATTTCGTATTTAATGTGCAAACGTCTTAACACAATTAATGACATGGAAGTTTCCAGTGAAATAGTTATGCAGCGAATGCTTATTTTGATCATAGTGTTTATTATGTCCACTATTTTTGGCGACTAGTTAAAAAAAAAACAATTTTGCCGAGAAAAAAATAATTTGACCAAACGATTAATGTATCAAATTGTATGTGCATCTTTTTAGCTTGAGTAAAAAAGTAGATTTTCCATTAGAATATGGTAGAAAATACTGGTTTCAAAAGTGACAGTCAATTGACTTGCCGTAACGATTTATTTTACACGTAGCCTATATTCTCAAAAGTATACTCTCTCAATGTGTAATGATTGTTGTGCCAATGGTTTCGCTGGCAAACAAAACAAACAACAGAGTCTACTAATGCAATTGCACTGTAAGTGTGTCTTGTCTTTGGCAGTAAATTAAATCCTACTTCTCGAGTAAAACCTAAACCAACTCGTCGCACCTGCGTTGCATGTAAATAAGCCACGGAAGACTGCAGTTCGACAATGTTTTTAACAACTCAAGATTCTCGGAATTTTCTTCATTTACATAAACTCACTGTGAATAGAGACATTCCAGTCTCTTCAAACAGCTCCTTTCGTTTAATATTTGCTCGTCTTTATTTTGTGAGAATTCTCGAAAATGAGATCCTACTGTTTTGTTTGCTTATTCTATGCATTTAAAAATACATATAAAGTGCCTAGCAATAGTTTCTTTGTACTTTTGACCAGTAATCAAAACTCAGTATAAATAGCTTATTTTACAATCGTGAACCATACTTAATTTTAGTATGTTTAGACTTGTTTGTCTGACTTTTACTCCCTCTTTTATTTCAACCATTTGAAACAACCAGTTAGAATTGTTTCAACGATGAAATGTTTGGAAAGTACTTAAGTCAGTATCCATCAAATTGAAGAGACCGTCGTACAAAGTAATTGTACCCCCAGTGGCCTTTAAACTCCTCATGTTATCCTTATGGAAAAACATTTGTTTATTATATGATCAAATGGATAATTACAACAGCTAGTAAATACTCATTTACTCTGTATAAGTTCATTCTCATTCATAGATTTATATGTATTTATCTACTTATTGAGATAAATTAATTTACCAATCATTGTGTTTGTATTTGATTGTACTTGAATTTTGATACTGTTTATGTAACCCTTTGAGGAGAAAAGATCAATGCACATAGATAAATCAATGTAAATATTTATTTTATAATTTACGATACAAATCAATAACACAATCGTCCAAAAGAATTACTCTACTGCCAAATGGATAACCACGTCAATCATTAAAGGCTGCCTTGCAGAATGAAGAGCTTTGTTCTGTGGCTTCATGTTGAAATGCATAGTTCATGTAAGGTTGTACTATTTCATTTCAGCAATACTTCGTGATGGTAAACATGTTTCCTTATCTGATATTGTAAAGATATGAAGTTAATTAGTGGGTGTAGGTACCGCCCCAGATGTCACAGTCTGTACCATGTGATTAAATTAGAACTTGTAATTAACACTGGTATTTTTAAAAACTACTCGTACTATATTTAAGTCTAAAATGATAAATACACATTGTACTGTATATCGATATACAATATACAGGGTGTAAAAAAACTGAACAACTTAAAGCCCAATACTGTACAATCTATGTAAGCGTCCATAGATCATTTTTTAAATTAATATGATAGAGGAACTCATACAGTTTCAACATAATTTGCTTGTATCAGCTGTATCATTGCTGTCGCTCAAAGATTTAAACTTCAAAACATAACCTGTATTGAGGCATGTATTAAGGTCATGAACGTTAAAGAGAGAGCCCAATGTGTTTGAATGGCACATTGAAACAAACAATAATTGTCTGGGGTTTTGTCAAAGACCAAGATTATACATGTCGAAAATCGTCAATGTTGGAGAATTGAGATTGAGAGTGATGTCGCCTTCAGCTCCATCACTGATATAATGCAACATTTAGTGTGGTCAGAGTTAGATGTATTAACTGTCTTTTGCCAACAATGGAAGCCATGTTGATTTTTCAAATTAAACCCTATATCCAGACAAAATTAAGAATATGTGTGTTAATTTATATTTATTAAAATTTTTTTTAAGCCTGATAGTAAAATACACTGCAACAAAGTTGTTCAGTTGTTTTTGGGACACCCTGTATGTTGTACGTATAAATTATATCCATGCAGTTGAAATTATACAGTGAAATTCGCGTCTATTATTATTTATCAGCTGTTGTTAATGATTTAAATAATACACTCAATATCTGTATTCCGGCTGTGCTACTCAACTAAAGTCGGGACCACATAAGTTTGCAGTTGAGGGAGGAGCCTATTTACCATATGGTTTTGAATGAACCAATGAGAACCGTGTGGTGTTGCCAAATCTAAAAATACCAGCTGATTTGAAAATATTGCTTAGTATATTTTTATTAGTGTTGTCAACGGGCGATGTGGCAACGTCACACTAGCCTTGTCTTGTGATTTGCTGCCACCAACTGCAAACGTACGTGGTCCCGACAATAATATAACTAATAGATGTCTATAAATCATTTATGTGTATGTTGGATGTTTTTGTGCTTCGTGTTCAAGCAGCCAACCAAGCAATTAATAGCTTTTGCCATTTAGAATTTATCTTTATAATACTAACTAGCAGAGTACCCATCCTTCGTACGGGGTTGGAATATAAGTATAAATTGCTTATTGCAGTTATACTCAAGCTTTGCGTTTGCAATAAGGGAGGACACAGTTTGATAAAATTTGCTTTTTTAAATTAACAGTATTCTATAGTATTACACATCTACCATAGCCATAATGTTCTACCACATCACCTAAACAATAGAGAAAAACAAATTATCAACAATTCACAAAATATCACAAATTATTCATGAAATGAAAAACATTAACATAACTGTAAACAATCCTACTTTGACAGTTCTCATTGCGAATCACAGTTTTTTGTTGCTGCTTAGTTCAAATTAGCTGTTTTCATAAATGCAAAAAAATATAGTGCTGCACCCTGTTGGTAAATCTTATAACTTTTTAATGCTTTTCCATATCATAGAACCAACTTTTTTAGTTGAAACAGCTAACTAAATTCTTTAATTCCCTTTAAATATGAATACTCATAAGGTTAACATGGGGAATTACAGAGCCACTGGGGCGGAGCCCGAAAGGATTTTTGAGATAAGAATATGCAATCGGGAATGTAAGCTATCATCATGCCAAATTTCAGCCCAATCCGCCCAGTGGTTTATGCGTGATTGAACTTCAAACACACAAACAAACAAACAAACAAACAAAAACAAACAAACACATAAACTTTCACATTTATAATATTAGTAAGATTATGAAAATCCTTCATACCTACATTATTTTATTGATCCGATCGACTGTTTCACATAAATCATTTCAGGATAGTTTGAATACTCTGTGACTATTTCCAAGCCATACAGTCAACAAAACACCCCCACTGACACTGTAGTCCAGCCCTCGGCAAGTACAAAGTCTCGCCACGGGGGTCTTCATTATGGTCTATGATTAACCATCAGCCTCGACTTTGTTTGTCGAGAGCTATATTGGAGTACAGAAACTACGCGGGGGGCCTGTGTGAGCATTGCATTGTAAATATTGTTAAGGCTGGTTGTAATAGCAGCAATAACGATACGGAAGTATTTCGCACAAAGAATGGATTAAAGCATTTTTTTTTTTAAATTTTGTAACAGTCTAAGCAATAATTTTTATGTTAAGGTCACTTTGAATTGTGCAAGTAGACTGGTCCAATGGTAAATTTAAGATTGTTATTTGTGTTTCGTGTCGATGACGTTTTTGTACTCATCACAATCGGTTAACAGGTTTTGATGTATTTTAGAGTAAATGTTCAGATATTTGGTCTACTCTGCAGTTAAAACAGGTTTAAAGCTGGTTAAGTTACAAGAAACGAAATTTGAAATTAATCAAATAAATATGATGGTTAACTAAAAACGCACAACCAGACAGAATTGACCTTACAATCTTTTTCAGCTGGTTCATAAAGATGATATATATATATATATATATATATATATATATATATATTTTTCCCCTACAGTTACTTGACAAAGTGGGCTTCCTTGCACTGATTTTAGTGCGCCAGTAGCTAATTGATGCATTTACTTACTTTTGCTGCACTCCAGTATTCCAACCAAACAACACAAAACAGTGTAAAAAAGGTTCAAATACCTGCTATTAGGCAATCCACTGTTGTAGTAAACACAACTAGTTTCGGCACCTGTATGGCTGTACAAGGACGGTTTTCTTTCTTCATATGAAAATGTCTCATCTTGTTTAACCCGAAAAAATAATAAATACGCATTTTAACACAACACAAACACGAATACGAAACATTAAGGTAATTGATCAGTTAAGTAAACAGACAACGCTAACGACGAGTTTGAGTACAGACTGCTTTCTTCTTGTTTTTCCAACATTTCTTGACATTTCTATTACTACTTAACTTTAGGCCTAATTAACTAATTAAACCTTTGTACTACTTCTTTCTTGTTAGCATTCATGGCAGGGGATTAACTTACTGTTACACCTAACCGTATTATTCTTGTAAATTTGCTGTAATTTTTCTTTGTGAAAGTATAACAATTGTGAGTAAGCACAGTATAGTATAGGTTACGGCTAGGGTAGTCTAATCTCGAAGCCATGCAAGCAACCATGTGCAAGTGTCTGACTAAGTGGATTGCAGACTTGTGCAATCGTCTTGCCTCTGAGCGGATTTTGACTCATTTTAGATAGGCCCGGGACCGATTTACTTTGCCTTGTACTATGTTTTGGTGTCACCAGAGGCTAAAACCCTTATTCGTTTAAATTGTTATGTATGTGTGTCCGTGAACGTATAACTTGAGTAATTTTTTATGAGTTTGATAAAAATAGG